ATTATTTTATTGTTCCCCCTCCTACGTGACTTTACCGAAAGAACCAATAATATGAATGCCTGCATTCGTCATAAATAAATGAACGCCGAATACGGACCGCACTCTCTCGGTGTTAACGCGCGGGCACCTCTCAGACACTCATTGCGGGTTGTTGTTCTTTTTTTGTGCACAGTGGTTGTCACGTCTTGCATCTGTTATTCTCCTAACTTCACGTTATTATTTCAAATGTGCGGCTTCTGTCAAGTGTAACTTTGTGCACTGAGTCAGCCTCGACGCCGTTGAACGCTATGCACCGCTGTAACTTTAACAAAAGTATTCTCACGCGATTACAGCTTGTTGCGGAGCGGGAAGTTTGCTTTTAAGCACTCACATCCAAAGTAAAAGAAATGCTTTTGAGACTCTTGTTTTTTTATAGGCCCCTACGTAATGCTTTGTTTGCTGCATAACGAATATTCGGAGACTTCACGGAATATTTTTTGTCAAGGTACACAAAAGTTAGAGCACGAAAAGAACACTCCAATCACCGAGAGTGTCTTGAAAGCACAACCCACGTAGGAGTGCATTTCCCCTTTTTCTGGCAACAAAACAGCTGTGTTAAGATGTTAAAACACCAAACTGAAACCTTTTACAAGGAATCATGTCTGCATTAACCACAATTCTTTTGGTCAGAATGCAAACAAAAACCACACACTGATAATATATGTGGCATTGTCTTTGAAACGGATTGGTCCACACCAGAGACAGCTTTCTTTTGAGCCTCGTCTCAAACGGTGTTAGACCAGAGGACGCCAAAAGGCGTACACAGCACAAATACAATGCCACTATCAGAGTAATAAAAGCTCGGGGTGAGCATTTACATCTCATTACTCTGGTTAATGCAAGACATGCTTCCTTGTGAAAGGTTTTAGTTTGGTGTTTTAACATCTTAACACAGCTGTTTTGTTGCCATAAAAAAGGGGACAACCTTTTCTCATATTTTGGTACTGGCAAAGGAGGTCCCGTGATGGATTAAATGTCGGGGAGAAAAAAAACACTCAGAGTTGTCTGAAGGGTAATTTATGCGTCTCGTAATAGTTTACACTAAATCCGCTAAAATCCTGAATTTGTGTGACATTTATAATGACTATGTATTCATCAACGTCAGCAACTCATCACTGTGGCCTGTAATCATTATCATCAGCAGACCTGATCTATCTACTGTTGGATGAAGGCCAATGCAAATTCATCACCATCCCTCCCCAACCACCGACCTCAACACTGCAGTATCGCTATGCTCTATAATCCATCTCACTTCCTCGCAGCAGACAATCCACATCGCTCCATGTCAGAGGACGCCATCCTCTCGGGCACGTTTCTCTCCTTTAGCTGCAATTCCATCACCAGTCTTGTCCATCGGCCATCATCCCCATCTCAGCCACCTCCGATTAGCTACGTACCATGCGAAGGATATTAGGTATTCATACATTTACATTTAGCATATTATACTGGTAGGAACGAAGTTGTAAACTGAGTGTTCCAGCCTGCAATAGATTAATGTGTCCGTCCGTCCTCTTTCAATACTTTATTTCAATTAAAAAAATTACGTCTATAGCAAACGCAAAATTCCAATGTTCCTACCAGCCCACCCTGCAGGGACCTGTTATGTATTGCCATCTTTTCGGAAGACGCATTTGTAGACCGGTTTGTCCACACGCGGTCTAAACACCCCATCAGAGACTGGGCCTGAAAGTATTGTCTACAGACCCCATGAGAAACCGGTCTGATGGGGGAAAACACTCAACATTATGAATTCTGGTTCATTCTCACGTTTGAATAAAATCACAGCATACATGTCACATCATACGTGTCACACGTCATATCATACATGTGAGATCATGCATGTAAGATCATACATATCAGAAAAAAAGTACACAGCGAGTAACGCGGCATGTGAGTGTAAGGCTGTGCGTGGTGCTGGGCCTCCCCTAAGTCGACTCAGCCTCAAATGAGTACCTGTTGCGGTGTGTAAACATCTTTGTCTCCCCACTGGGGAGACAAAGGCGGTCGGGCGTGGTGCTGGCCACCCACCCCATGCGCAGAGCGTCCTCGCCCAAGGCGACTCACCTTTCTCAACAGTAAATATGAGCTCCCTAATTCGCATTATTTGCGTAATTTTAGCTTTCCATTGAAATAGAATTCTCGGCATCCAATGTGTTCCCCATGCCATAGAAATCCATAGCAAACAACACTGACTGATTGGACAGAATTGTGTATGTATTGTATGTATGTTGAACTCGCCGGCTGTATGTACTTTTTCTGACATGTATCATGTGACATGTATGATCTGACATGTATCATGTGACGTGTATGATCTGACATGTTTGATCTGACATGTATGATCTGACATTTATGATCTGACATGTATGCTGAGTTCTTATTGTAACATTTTTGTTCCCCCTATCAGACCGGTCTCTGATGGGGTCTGTCGACATTGGACTGCCAGACCCAGTCTCTGATGGGGGTATTCAGACCACGTGTGGACAAACTGGTCTATAAATAAGTCTTCCGACAAGAAGGCGATTCATTTAAAATTCAAAATGTGTGGATGATGTTGAACTTCGTTCGCACCGTACGTAGCCAACCGCGCTAATCGGAGGTGCAGGGGGGGGGGGGGGGGTGTGACAAACAAGCTAAACGCAAAACAGTTCTTAAGAAATTAGTTTTAAATTGAGATGCAAAAGTTCACAGCTCCCAAAGGCGTCCTAATATCGCAAGAGAGCACGCGCAAGTTAAGCGACACGGTGATTGCACAGCAGCAGGAGGGGTAAATGATAGGGTTGTGTGTGTGTGTGGTGGGGGAGGCGGGGCAAATCTGATTGAAGCCGTACTCAGCCGGTTGAGAGTGAATCGAGGGCTGTATAAACAAACACAGCGCAGAGTTCGAACCGCACCCACAATCGAGAGTGGTGGGGGCAAGGTGGGGGGGGGAAGCTGAGGGGGGGGGGGGGGAAGCCCAGCAGTTTGAAAAGTGGGAGCCGGACTTGGAGAGAGCCGGGAGAGATCGGTGTTAAGCTGGGAGTGGAGGGGCGAGCGAGCCAACAAGGTTGCGTCGTCGCAAATGTGGGCCACGGATGAGTCTCCGTGGCAGTGACCCGTTGGCAAATCGAGCAGCAGCAGCAGCAGCGAGCGACGGCGGCGGTAGTGGCCGCACCCACGCGCCCCATCTCCGCTGCTCTTGGATTATCCTGCGAGCATCAGCGGAGCATCGATCCGTGGGAAGGGCGATAAGCTCGTAACCACCACCCCCTTGCGATGAGACGGTAATAAACCCGCAACTACCCAGCGCGCGTGCTCCCTGCGTGTCACCCCGTGTTGACAGCCTCATTGTCAATAAATCCACTGCTGGATGAGGGCCTTCCTCCCGCACCGTGTCGCGGATTAATTTGAGCACGGTATACTTCGCCCGCGCTAGTCGGTGAGAGGCTTGCTACCAAGATTGTGGGGTGGGAGGAGAGGTGAGGGGGCATAGACGTGGAGCGTAGTGCAGTACAACACTGGGTTTCGCTGTATTGTCGTGGGCCGTGCAGTGTTCCATTACGGTTGCCAATTTTTTTTTCTCCATTATCAGTTCATAGCCCTGAAAGAACAGCGGCACGGGTGAATGGAGACATTTCACTTGACGTATTTATCATGATTAAAACATAGCCTATTCACTATTAATGTGCATAGCCCTCAAAGGACTGCCTACCATAAGCTAGCCCATACGCAAAGCAACCACGGCAGGATGATTTGCGACGAGAGTTGTGTGGTCCTCCGTACTAAAACTGTAACTGAACTATGTTTTTTTACATTTATTTTACCAGATAAAGCCCACTGAGCTATTTTTCAGAAGTGATCGCTCGAAACAGCGGCGTATTACCACGTGCAAATGTATAGTAGCCAAATACTCGAAACGCGTGTTCTTTATTCACGCGGAGGGGAAAATCCGAGGACCCGGAGAAAAATCCACGAGACCACGGGGAGAGAGATATATACAGCAGGGGTCGGGATCGAACTTCCTGTATACCAGGCGAGGGAGTTAACATCTTCTAGTCATTGTGGCGCCATTTGAGAGAATGCCCCCCCTAGGTAGCTGCGTGGATTTTGATTCGACGCTTGCGGTGTGTGGAGCCAGCGTTGATAACAAACGCAGGCACCCGCCCGCGGAGGACGGCGACAGGGGAGTTTCTCCACCGAGTCCCAGCGTTCTTCGTTTATAATTAATTTGCTTCAGTTTGGCTGTCCGAGCCATTGGCGTTAAGCGCTGAATTCGCAGAATCGTAAAGGCGATTTGGTGTGGCTTGGGCCACGGTGGCTAGGAGATGTTAACTACCTCGCCCTGGTAGACAGGAGGTCGTGGGTTCGAACGAGACCCTGGTGCCTGCTGTATGTTTTGCGGTCGGGTGGCTTCTGAAAAAAAAAAGATAGATAGCTCAGTGGGCTTTACCTAGTAAATAAAATATTTAAGTTGATGATTCCTGTCTTTTTTGACTAGCTATCACGAGAATTGGATTTCTAATTTTGTTTCTTTATTGCATGTGCTCGCGATTTCAATTTCTGCACATCACCATTAAATGCCCGGAGCTTCGTTTCTATATAAACCAACTTGATCGTAACTGATCAATGATGATTATGATAATGAACATGATACAACAATAGTCTAGCAGCAGTCTTCAGTGAAGCTGGGCCTTTGCTCTACCAGTAGTTTTGTTAATTAATTGGCCAACAGCAACCTGAATTACTTAATATATAGAGGCCTGCAGAGCTTGGGTAATCGTTGGGAGCCGGCTTCACCGCGTGACTGCCAATCGACCTGCCTGTTTATCCTCACGCCTCTCTCTCTCTTCTTGGAAAGCAATTGAATTCTGTGCACATCATTATTATTATGATTAGAAGTTGCGAATTATAATCGTGACCCTGGGGGCCGAGTGGCCGGGTTGCCGGGTGTCTGATGCCGTGCATTGTTGGGACACCCTCGACAGGATGGGAGGGCCGTCGATGGGCAAGCGGAGGCCGCTCACCGACGCTTTGCTCCTCTCTCTGCTCGGGTTGATCTGCCTGCAGCTTGCGCCAGCGTCCGCGCGGGTCCGAGCTCCAACAGGTAACGGGTTCCGCACGTCGCACGCGCACAACACACACACACGCACAACACACACGCGCGCACAACACACACACACGCGCAGAACACACACACACGCGCACAACACACACGCGCACAACACACACGCACACGCGCGCGCACGCTCGTGCAACACATACCACCTCTCCCACGTAGCCTTCACAGGCTTAGCAGGGTTGGCTACGTAATGGTGCGAAAGACGTTCAACGTAGATTATATGCGAGTAGCATCCGATGAAGAACGTGTAGGGTACACGAGGGGGTGAGTGGTCTCCCTGAGTGGTGATGTCAACACGGCGCACCAACTTTACACACCGCATGTACACGAAAGACAGAGACCTCCCGTATAGGCTTCTCTGACTATTGGGACAAGTGCTGTTAGCGAGTAGCACCTCTGAATGTCGACAAGGCACACGGGAGTGGAGTGGAGGGGGGGGGCAGCACCACGCTCATCCTCACACCCACGTGGCACGTAACTCGTTGGCTGTGTGTACTTTTTTCCGACATCATGTGACATGTTTGATCTGACATGTATGATCTGACACGTATGATCTGACATTTATGCTGAGGTCTTATTGTTATATTTTTGTTCCCCCATCAGACCGGTCTCTGATGGGGCCTGTAGACATTGGACTGCCAGACCCAGTCTCTGATGGGGGTATTCAGACCACGTGTGGACAAACTGGTCTCCAAAGAAGTCTTCCGACAAGAAGGCGATTAATATGAAATTAAAAATGTGTGGATGTTGAAATTCGTTCACACCGTACGTAGCCAACCGCGCTAATCGGAGGTGCGGTGGGGGGGGGGAATGACAACAAACTAAGCACAACAAGTCGTTTTAAAGAAATGAGTTTTCAATCTTGATTCAAATATCTGTGCGTACATCCATTGGCTTCCTCAAATCGGAAGGAAGATATGTGTTATGATATAAATATTTGCTACATCCTGTACAATGGCAGACTGTGCAACTACGTGGCACCCCCCACAATGTAGCTGCGTGGCACCACCACCATGCAACTTACATGGCATGGTGGCGGTGCTCTTTGTGAGGAGTTATAACGCTGTTGGGTGGCTTTGTATAGCCACGAATTGCGAGGCAAGTGCCATGTCGCGTGTTGCATTCAGAATTGAATATATCTCATCCTTCACAATGAATTATTGTGAACAGCCCACCGTGGCGGTAGATGTGACAGATAAACCTATACTCCATCTCGCTGACTGCAAAGTACATGTATACTATGTGAAGCATGTGGTATAAATATGGATTCGATGTGCTCTGTGATCGTCAGTGCAGTGGTTTGCGCACTGCTGCTACAAACCCGGTGACCTGACTTCGATTCCAGCTCACGGGCAACACCGGTGATGATTATCTGAACCGGTTATGGGCCCGGCCCCCCCCCCTCTAGGTCGACTCAGCCTCAAATGAGTACCTTGTGCGGTGTGTAAACATCGTCACTGGGGAGACAAAGGCGGCCGTGCGTGGTGCTGGCTACCCACCCCATCGTGTGCCGTGCCGGCCTTCATAGGTGCTCACTAACAGCACTTGCCCCTACAGTCTGTTAAGGCTATACGGCGGATTTTGTCTTTGTGTTTTTTTATGAGGAGCGGTAGTGTAGTGGTTATAGAAGACTGCAACGAATTGGTGGCCAGAGTTAGATTCCATCAGTGGCAAATATTTTTTGGATGAGTGGCCACCAACAAAATCATACATCAGCTACCATTCTTTGTCTTGTCCAAAGCTAAAGAAACCTTGACCAAAGCTAAAGAAATCTGAGATGCGTAGTTTCCGAGATGTAATCCGATTTAAGGCAATTTATTTGCCTACTTTGCGGATATTAAAACGTGATTGTCAAAATTTGCATTTCAATAAGTGTTTGGGGGTGCATCCTTGGTTCGATGTGCTGGGCTAAAATTCCAGTGCAGGTCGATGCGATCTAAGCGGCGGTCTGAATGCCCCTAACTTGGCTAATTAAAGAACAAAAAAATACGTTTTATTTTATAGAGGTTGGACAATCCTAGTTTAAAAGAGTGGAAAAAGCGGATTGACTGACAGAAAGACAAAATGGACGCATTCGTGCACTGTACGGCCATTACTATGGCTTCTCCATCATCGAATCTGTGCGTGAGTTCGGGAGAAGGAGAGACTGGACGCGTCATCGCCGCGCAGGTCCCGCATCCCTTTCCCTTCGTACGGAACGGCCCATTTCACTGGACTTTCATGCATTTTGTATGAGTCGTCTTAGTGTTTAATATTCAGCGCTGCTTCCTTTGACAACCGTTAGTAGACTCGTCGCACAAAACCAGAAGTAAAGCTTTTTCGCACGAAAACAACGCCTCGCAGCATTGCGCCAAAATATAAGAACAATGCTAGTTATTATAATAAAGGTGTGAAAAGCAGCCTTAATGAATGTGAATTTCTCGTCGTACTGATGATGGGAAATATTTCCCTCTGATAACGTATATTATTGGCTTCGAGGTGTTAATTACTCCGACTGGTATACAGGGGGTTCGATCCCGACTCTCACGCCTGCTGTATATTTGGAATTTGCATGTTCTCTATCCTCGTGGCCATGTGGATTTTTCTCCGGGTCCTTCAGTTTTTCCCTCCACATTTAGAATCAACGTGCGTTTAGAGTATTTGGCTGCTATACATTTCCACGTGGTAAGCCACTTCGTTGCGCTATCATTTATGGCCAGATCGCTTCTGAAAAAAAAAAACTATATAGCTCAGTGGGCCTTAGTTGGTAAAATACAAATTGTTTCTAATTTTATAACTATGTATATATTTAAATTGAGACCTACGTAAAATGTAGCGCGTCAACAAATAACATAGAAAGGGAGATTTAGAAACAAAGCCTTGCGTCCCAACTCTTCCTGCCTCTCCGACCTCTCTCTATGTGCTGTGAAGAAGGGCCGTTGTTTGTATGTATGTTGAACTTCTTTCTCACAGTACGTAGCCAACCGCAGTAATCCGAGGGGCCACCTTCTAAAGCCGTGCTGTCGACGAATGTCTCGACGTTTTTTTTCTTCTGGTTATATTTTTGGTTATCTTTCACAGTGCCCGTAACGGTGGTGCTGTTTTTTTTTTAAGTCGACCTCAGTCGTGAAATTCACGGTTGCTCTGAATAGGAAAATATAGAATAGCCCAAGTGGAAATTATTCAAAAGGGCACTCCAGTCTCAGAAGAGGTGAACTTTAAGCAGGTTGTGAAGAGATCGTCCCCCTTTGTTCCACACCCACAAGAGGCAAAACCGTTCCTGGGATCCAGCAAAGCTAAAGCCAAATAGCATGTAATGAAAAAAAATACAAAACCGGGCATGTCACTTAGGGAATGGTGGCATGGATCTGAATGCAAGGGCAGAGAGGTGAGTTGGAAGCAGGGCAAATGCAATCCTCTTAGTATTCGCAAGAAAGATAAACCGATCTTGGCACCGGGTGAGGCAAAGCGGGGGAGAGACTCCCGCGTGTTCAGCCCAAGTCACGCGCCTACCTGGCCCAACATTGTCGCCGTGCGTTTTCCCAGGGCAAAGATACAAAGGTGTCGCATCGGTGGCAAAGGAAGGTTGCCAAAGTCGAATCTTTTTAATAAAAAAATAGATGGGTGCCTCATTATAAAGGTAGGCATGGTGAAAACGATATTTGTAGGCAAGAGTGGAATGTGCGGTGGGTCGCGTGGTGGGTCGTGTGGTGAATTGCGGTGACACAGTGGTTTTGGTGCACAGCGCTATGAACCCGGCGTCTCGGGGTTTGATTTACAGCCATGGTTAATGTCACCGCACACCTCCGATTAGCACGGTTGGCAACGTACGGTGCAAAAGAAGTTCAATATATCACAGACGTACATAGACTCACACTGATACCCATAGACTCACACAGAGACCCATAGTATGTTCACCTTCCCCTGCACCTCCTATTAGCACGGTTGGCTATGAACGGTGTGAAAGAAGTTCAACATAGATATTTTTCCCCCATACGTGCCAGGATTTACAATGCCCCTTCCAAAACCTACAGTGGCATGAACATGAGATAATTTGAATTTAATTATATTTTATAAGGATAAACTGCATGACCAAACCATTTTCATATTTATTTGGGACACATTTACCCCCCCCTTCTCACCCCTCCCTCCACCGAGTTGTGCACGTGTTGTATCTGATTTTCATTAGAAAAAAACATCAGCAGAATATAAACGCATACATAGAAGTATAAATAAATGTGTCCCTCTGATCAATCAAATGTCACTGCTTGCACACCAGGACACTAAGCGTTGGCATGTGCTCTGATAAAGATGCAGTAAAACCCCCAGAATTAATAAATATTAATATATAACGCATCGCAGCATCGAGATGAAGAGCGAGATAGATGGTGGCCGTTCAAACCGCGTCGGCATTAACCAGTACGAATAAAAATAACGCACGGTTAAGTTTATTATAAATGCGATATACGGCGCATGGTCATCGCGGGAGAAACATGCGGCTCATGATATATTTAACAGTTCATACAAATCGCCCCCTGCACACACAGTGCCTATGAATGGGCATTGCTTGTGTGCTTTTAATTTGAGTAATGTACACAGCTTCAGCTTTATTATTTATCATTATAACAACAACAACGACAATGATCATAAATCATGTACAACCCGTTCTCAATCCACTGCTAGATAAGGGTTTCCCCAAGCAATTTTAGTCATGGGAGGGTGTGGGGTTATTTGACCATACTTCACCAGAATCCGTTCGCACTCCTTGCTGGGTAACCACTGTGCCACCGCTCCCTACTCATCATTATCTGGTTATAATGAAAAGTAATCCATTATGCGGCTTCACTTTATTGAATGGCAGGGTTTTAATTGTGATGTCACTTCTTTAAAAAAAAAGCATCCTGAAAAAAAACTCATTTCTGCATGTAATTGCATCTGACCGGACAAATAGCATAAATGAATGCTAGCTGAGGTAGATTAAACACAACACTGCACATTAGCATGGC